CTCCCTCACCTTCCCTCTGAGATTCCAAAGTATGTTCTATGCTTCTATGTCTCTGGATCTATTTTGTTCATCAGTTTATTTTGTTCATTAGATTCCACATGAGTAAGATATGTGATACTTGTCTTTCTCTGACTGGATTATTTCACTTAGCATAATGCTCTCTAGGTGCCTCAGTGCTGTCTCAAAGGGTAAGAGATTCTTCTTTTTTACTGCTGCATAGTATTCCATGGTGTAGATGTACCACAGCTTTTTTTATCCACTTATCTACTGATGGGCACTTGGGCTGTTTCCAGATCTTAGCTATGGTAAATTAAGCTGCTTGTGAACATAGGGGTGCATACATCCTTTCTGACGGGTGTTTCGAGTTTCTTAGAATATATCCTTAGAAGTGGGATCACTGGGTCAAATGGCAGCTCCAAATTTAATTTTTTGAGGAAACTCCGCACTGTTTTCCATAATGGCTGCACCAGTCTGTCATCCTTTTTAAACACACTTCCACTTCCCAGGCCAAGACCAGCATAAAGTTGTCTCCCACGTGGCTATCCACACAACTCTGCCCCAGTACCAACCAAGTCACCATTCCTAAGTTTCTTGAACTTTCCAAAGAATGAGATGCAAGCTAATCAACACTGGAGGTTTCCCCACCCCCCACCTCCCACCTCCTGAGAGATGTGGATCCATCTACCTGTTTGACATTCAGGATATCATACACTCTCTGGGCTTCATCTGCAAAATATAGTGGTTGAACAGAACACCTAGCTCTGATGTTCTGTAATTCTAAAAGCATCTGTTTTAGATGCTTAATTAGAATCCACAGCAAGAAGTTGCTACCAGTACCTCCCAGGAGAGATGCTGAGGCTATAGAACTTCTGAAATGTGTTGCCCAGCAGCTAGCACACATCTTCTCTTGCACTGGTGTGCTGTCTACATGTGTGTCCCCTAGTAGCATATGAACCCCATGAGGGCAGGGACAGCATCTTACACGTCTGGCATATAGTATATATTTAATACGTGTTTGTAGAACAAATGGATGAATGGGAGCAAAGGACCTAGAGATAAATTAGTTCTATATGTTATAAATCTAAAGTAACATTCTTGGCCCTGGCCGAGTAGCTCATTTGGAGCATCGTCCCAATATGCAAGGTTGCGGGACCCACCCACATGCGGGGTTGGGTGGACTGGTTCTGGTGTCTTCAGGGCAGTTACAAGAATCAACCAATGGATTAATAAAGTGGAACAACAAATTGATGTTGCTCCCTTCTCTCTCTCTCTAAAATCAATCAATAAAAATGTTTTTAAGATATATTTTTATTGATTTCAGAGAGGAAGGTAGAGAGAGATAGAAACATAGAAACATCAATGATGAGAGAGAATCGTTGACCAGCTGCCTCCTGCACACTCCCTAGTGGGGATGGAGCTCGCAACTGGGGCAAGTGCCCCAACCGGGAATCTGACCTGTGACCTCCTGGTTCCTAGGTCTATGCTCACCCACTGAGCCATACCAGCCGGGCAATAAAAATTTTTTTTTTTTAATATATTTTATTGATTATTTTTACAGAGAGGAAGGGAGAGGGATAGAGAGTGAGAAACATCGGATGAGAGAGAAACATCGATCAGCTGCCTCCTGCACACTCCCTACTGGGTATGTGCCCGCAACCAAGGTACATGGCCTTGACTGGAATCGAACCTGGGACCCTTCAGTCCGCAGGCTGACGCTCTATCCACTGAGCCAAACTGGTTAGGACAATAAACATGTTTTTAAAATAAAATAAACTAACATTCTTTTTTTCTGGTAAATTGTATTGAGGTGGGTTTTTTTTTTAACTAATATATATATATATATATATCACAGAGGAAGGGAGAGGGAAAGAGAGATAGAAACATCACTGATGAGCCCTAGCTGGTTTGGCTCAATGGATAGAGTGTCGGCCTGCGGACTGAAGGGTCCCAGGTTCGATTCCAGTCAAGGGCACATGCCCGGATTATGGGCTCCATCCCCAGTAGGGGGCGCGCAAGAGGCAGTCAATCAATGATTCTCTCACATCCTTGGCGTTTCTGTCTTTTCCCTTCTTCTCTCTAAAATCAATAAAAATATATTTTAAAAAAAGAAAGAAACAGCAATGATGAGAATCATTGATCAAGCCGCCTCCTGCACACACCCTACTGGGATGGAGCCTGCAACCCAGGCATGTGCTCTGACAGGGAATCCAACGATGATCTCCTGATTCATAGGTCAATGTTCAAACACTGAGCCACACCAGCTGGGCTAAACTGACTTCTTAAGGCAACACTTGGGAGTACTTGCTCCCACAAATAGGCATGTGCTATGGGAACATGAGGGTATCATACTTTTTAATCAAGACTGGCCTATAAAATCCAGGATGTGGAATCTCTGTGGCTATAGAAGCCCAGAGGAAGGAGGGAAAACCCACAGAAATTAGCTGGCCTGGGCCAGGCTGGGGATCAAATCACATACTCTACACAGCAACATGCTAAGGATTCCATTTCCAAGCCCAGATTTGAGTGGAGAGAGTGTACTAATACTAGTTGAGCAAATATCTACCATGTGACAGATCCCTTACACAGTTTCCACATTTATTTAACAAAACACCAAGTTCTTCCTTACAATTGCCTTATGAAGAAGGTCTTAGAAATGAAGAAATTTAGGTTCAAAGATTCAATAACGAACCTAAGGTCATTAAGGGATAAGGGATCAGCATTGTGTCAGGTTCCAAAGTCCACGCTTCGTTCCCAGTCTTGCAGGGGCAAGGCGGAAAAGGGGACCAGGGAAACAGGACAGCCCAGCCCGCCGTGCCAGCCCTGGGATGTATACAGCCAGACTGGTGGGGCAGCCCATGGTTGCTGGGCTCTGGGCCGGACCACCGGAGCTCACCAGAGCCTGCATCTCCAAACACGGGGCTCTGATCTGCTCCTGCTGACGCTGGTGGATGCGGGGACAGATGCCCTGGATGCTGGCAGAGGGAGGGCGGATCCCGCTGCGGCCCGACCTCTGGGGGCTGTCACAACCCCAAACCTGCCCTGCCCTCCCCTCTTCCACTCGAGGGCAGCGGAACCATCCGCCCAACCCCGCTGGTAGGTCCGCAGGGAGGAGGGCGGGGATTTCGCACGGTAGGGACTACAAGTCCCACAATGCTCCGGACAGCGGCGGCGAAGCAGGGGGTGCGGGTGCCTTCAGGTGTCGGCGGCCTCGGCGCCTCCCGCCCGGAAGTGCCC